CGCTTGAGGTATTCGGCCAATCACAACGCACTGGATAGCTGTCCAATCACAGCACACCTTGCTTTTCAGAACAATGAGCTTTGTAAAAACCGACGCGTTTCAGAAAGGCGGGGCATAGAGGAGAAACAATAATGTACAGTATGTGGGAAAATAATGTGTTTTTTTAACCTTAAACCGCATGTGTATTTGGTGTAATGAACACATTTCATTACACCAAATACACAAAATAATGTTCTTTTTAGCAACATCATATGACCCCTTTAAGGTGCAGTCAAATTGACCATTATTTGGCAAATTTCCACAAGAGAAATTCAAGCCATTTTAATAGTAATCCATGCAATTGGGAAATGTGTCAATTTCTAAATACAAATTCTTGACTTGTTTAATAACACTTTTGTTAATCAAGCTAGCAGGACCAATGTGAAGTTGTTAAGTCGCCGTCTTGATTTAATAACGCATAAAACTGCAATACACCCATTTAAATAGGTTTCAGCTTGTTTTTGATGTGTAGGCTACATGAATAATACAGCGTTCAGTTGGCCCACAAAGGTATTATCATGTCAATTACAAGCATGATTACAATATCAACGAAAACGATTGAAAATGTTGATTATTGTCCGTTTCTAGCAGGCAGCCCGCTAGTTTTTGACACACAGCCAGAGTGTCATGTCCAGCCTCTCTGTGAATGATTTCTGCCGCTCCAGTGGGAATAAGTGGGTGCAGAACAAGCCCACAGAGAGCCATCTCACCAACACACGGCACGCTCGCAATAAACCAGGTCAGCAATGAGCAGAAAGGGACAAAGACAAATGGAGAATCCACACAGCAGCTGCTAGAGCGAATCACACTCACTTTGCTCCACGTAGCAGCACCAACATAGCATACTACTGTTTGAAATGTTTACCGTTATCAATAAAAGCTGATTCACATACTGTTCTCTTCAAAAACAGTATTTATTGCAGTCCAAACATAGCCTGTTGTGAGTAGAGTAAACTTTACCCTACTTACTAGGGTTGAGCTGAAGGGAATCAACTCACTCTTTGGCTTGCTATTAAACAATACACATATTAACTAGTCAAACCAGTGTGTGTGTGTGTGTGTGTGTACTGTACTCAACAACTGGACCATTTCAAACAATCAACACAACCTACCTACTAACACATACCACAGTAAGAACAAAACACAAACACACGTGAGCCGATGTGAATGATTAAAGTGTACTTGGGTTCATTTAGCTGCATTTTCAGCAGGGAATGTAAATAAAAAAAACGGAGTGTGAGTGTGTTGCAACAGTGCTGATGAGATCGTTTCTGAGGCATGTCCGTTTGTGGCAAACACTTCCTCCTTACAGGAAACACTCAAAACAACCACACGACACTTCAAATGTGAGCTGCCATAAAACTGGCTTACACTAATTAATAAACCATCAAATACAAACTGATTTGAAATGTAATATTTTTCTTTATGTACCACTTTTGTGCTTCCGCCGAGATTGTTTGGTAATATTTTGACTGCTGTACTTATCTTTGATAAACATCTCTTTGAGTGACTTTGTGCGCATGTATATTCAGTAAATGAATATGACAGTTATGCCTAGTCATATCAAATGTCTATCCATCCATCTGTTTATCTATTCATGTGTACAATCAGTATGGTGCTGGCAACACCAAGGTTATGGGTTTGATTCCCAATATATGTATGAGCTGATAAAATATATACGCTGAATTTAATGCAAGTCACTGGAGATAAAAGCATCTGCCAAATGCATGAATGTATAAATATATGTAAATATATTAGTGCTGTCAAATGATTAATCGCATCCAATATAAAAAAAATTGTTTACATAATATATGTGACCCTGGAGCACAAAACCAGTCATAAGTAGCACAATAACATTTGTAGCCAACAATACATTGTATGGGTCAAAATTATTGATTTTTCTTTTATGCCAAAAATCATTAGGATATTAAGCAAGGTTTAAAAAAAAACTAATTTTTGATTAGTAATATGCATTGCTAAGAACTTCATTTGGACAACTTTAAAGGCGATTTTCTCAATATTTAGATTTTGTTTTTTTTGCACCCTCAGATTCCATATTTTCAAATAGTTATATCTCGGCCAAATATTGTCCTATCCTAACAAACCATACATCAATGGAAAGCTTATTTATTCAGCTTTCAGATGCTGTATAAATATCAATTTCAATTTTCATATTTACCCTTATGACTGGGTTTGTGGTCCAGGATCACATATGTATTTACTGTGTATATTTATTATGTATATATAAATACACACACATACAGTACATATTTTGAAAAGATTACATGCATTTACATGTATAAATTTATATTAAGTATATTTAATATATACACAAAACAACATATTTTTCTTAAATATATTCATGCATGTGTGTGTATTTATATACACGCATAATAAATATACAGAGTACACGTGCATATATTATGTAAACAAAATGTTTTATTTTGGATGCGATTAATCGTTTGACAGCACTAAAATATATGTAACAATCTAACTCTTTATCTATCCATACATCTTTTTCCATCTATCCATCCAGATTTCTGTTCATCTCTTTATCATCTGTACATTCATGCACCTTTTTATCCATCTACATATCCATCGATTTTCAATGTGCAAAGCCAAAAATGTCTTGAATAAGTCTCCCCTAGCAGCTTTGACTTGATTTACGTGACTATAAAACACATCTTTGTTTTAGTGTCTTGGTCTGCATCACACAAACAGATAATCTCAGTGAGTGTGGATTCAAACACAAAGCTGCTCTGCCTAATTGTTTCCTTGAAGAGTCAGACTGGCTAACAGCAGGCCTGCCCTCACAATAGCATGAAAACATTGGCCATCTGAACCCGAGATAGTGAACATGAAGCGCCATTTACTAGTAAACAAACGAAACGTGACTTTATATAATGCAGTGAATGCAGCCGACACGACGAACACTCGCGGCTGTCTCGAGCCCTAATGAGCATACCACCGGGATTTGATACACAGCCCACCTCAAAATAGCCTAGACGCTGTGGATAATGGTGCTATTGACTATTAATCGCTGGTTAAGTTACCTCGAACTGCCAGTGCGCCGCTTGCAGCAGCTGCTTCGCCTGATCCGCCGCGCAGCCCGCGGTCAAAACAAACTGGTTGATCATCACTTGATGTCTCAGCTCGTCCATATTCACCGACATCGCCGCTGTTCGCTCCTCCCGTGAACGGAAAGCTCCGTACGATGCGTGTGTGTTCGTTGAAAGCGAGAGTCGCTGCCAGGGCCGTCTTCCTTCACGCTCTCTCCTCGCTCGCCTTCCAGTAACAACAAATAGCTCATGTCATCATCACCGACAACAAACCCAAACGCGCTCTCTGATTGGCTACGGAGCCAAAACAGCGAGTACACACGGGCGTCCCATTGGTCCATCGACAAATGGGCAATCGGCTCAAGTGACGTAATTTAAAGCAACGCGTCGCGCGTGGTTGGACGCTTGCGAGCGGCACGAGCTCTCTCATTGGTCAGAATAACAGGAAACCGTCGCGTTTTTATTGGTCAGATGAAAACATTTCTTTTTTATTATTATTAATGCCAAAATATTTTTATTACAAGTACAGAACTATACAATATCAAGAACAATAGATGACAAAATATCACATTTAGATTTACATTTAGCCATTTAGCAGACGCTTTTATCCAAAGCGACTTACAAGTGAGGACAATAGGAGCAATGAAAACTAACAAAAGAGCAATAATATGATAATAATATCCTCATTTGTAAGTCGCTTTGGATAAAAGCGTCTGCTAAATGATTAAATGTAAATGTAAATATGAAAGCGCTATATGACAAGTCTTAGTTAGCCTATATGTAGCAAGGTTTATCTATCTATCTATCTATCTGTCTGTCTGTCTGTCTGTCTGTCTGTGTGTGTGTGTGTGTGTGTGTGTGTATATATATATATATAAAGAAACAAGTAGATAGAATAGAAAAAGAATAGAGAAAGCTGGTGTGAAAATATCTAAAAAATAATACAAGGAAGAAAGTAAAATAAATAAATAAACTTAATAAATAAATAAATAAGTAAATAACATAACATGAACCAGAGGGGGGAAATTATACTATATAGGCTATATTATGTATTATATTATAAGGTGTTAAACATTGAAAGCAATTTTTGACTTGTGGATGATTTTTTTTGCTTTTTTATGCCCATCAAAGACAAAATGTAAGAATGATGAAAACATTTCTACTCATACTGTTCATAGTTCATACTGTGCACTGTACTCCTTTAGACTATAATGTGAGTAAAGACAAAACCAATTTTATTCATTAAAACCACCAGCATAATATATTAAATAAATAAATAAATAAGTGAAAGACATGTGTAACCATTTGACTGACTGATTCATTTTCCTGATGTCCCAAGAGCATGAAGGCTTCAGTCAGGTGTAAATGGGCCTTTTGTTAGCAAGTGCTTTGAAATGAATTCAGGAGTTTCAACCCACCCAGCTGAGAGTCTGAATAATTCAGACCGGGTGTCAGAGAAAGCCTGTTATGGAGAAGGCTATCTATAATGTAATGGAGCTGGGCGTTTCTTCTGCGTTCTGTGTGTATTGAGTTGTAACTCAGTGATCTGGTTGTGAGAAAGGATTCAGTGACATTAGTGTTAGCACTGAGAGACTGCATGCTGGATATATGGTAACCGCACCTTTAACTGCATTAATCTACTCTAAGAAATGACGTAAGAAGAAAGTCAGTGGCGGCTGGTGAAAAATATTCTAGGTAGGGCTGTGCCACATCCAACAATTTCAGCAAATATCGCTGTACTATGTAATGATAAACAGTTAAAGTTAAAGGGGTCATATGATGCGATTTCAAGTTTTCCTTTCTCTTTGGAGTGTTACAAGCTGATTGTGCATAGATAAGATCCCTGAAGTTGCAAAGTCTAAAGTCTCAAAACCAAAGAGATATTCTTTATCAAAGTTAAGACTCTGGGCGGGGCATAGAGGACCTACAATAATGTACAGTATTTGAAAAATAATGTGTTTTTTCAACATTAAAGCATGTCAACATATTCTGTTACACCAAATACACAAAATAATGATCTTTAAAAAAGCATCATATGACCCCTTTAAAGAAAAAGTTGCTTTTTAAGTTAACAGAAGGAAAAAATAAATTCATTACTAAACAGGACAATACAGTGTGGCAAGAGGACACATACACAGTTTGTTTGCGTCAGGGGCACCGCTATGGTTTCTGGGCCCCCCTCGGCAGTGACTCATGTGTGCCTGATGTATGACTCCTGTATGTCACTCACTGTAATCACCTTTACCTTTCTTTGCAATCGTCATCCAGCAAAACTTTACTGGCGAGACACTGGTTTACTTTATACAGCCCCTACGGACTTGTCCTGACTTTTAGCAGTGGCTGTCAGGGTCAATTCAATATCATGGGTTTGATTTCCAGAGAAAGCAAGAAATGATCAAATGAATACCTTGAATGCAATGTAAGTCACGTTGGTTAAAACCATGCGCCAAATGCATGAATGTAGAGAGAGAGAGGGGGGTCACATCACAGTGGAGTCAGCTGTCTTAACCGTGGCTTGTGTACTGCAAACACATACCAGCTTCATCACTGTGTCTGTCACGCGACTCTGTTCCCCTTTCGGGCTCTGTTTTTACATTTATTTTGAAAGATGAAGCTCGTGATTATGGTAAGGGGCGTTACATTTCCGACGAGTGCTTGTGGTGTTCGGCCAATCAGAATGCACTGGGTCAGCTGGCCAATCAGAGCAGACTGCGCTTGTCAAAGGAGGGGGCTTTGTAGAAAACGAAGCGTTTGAGAGAGGCGGGGCATAGAGGACCTACAATAATGTACAGTATTTGAAAAATAATGTGTTTTTTCAACATTAAAGCATGTCAACATATTCTGTTACACCAAATACACAAAATAATGATCTTTAAAAAAGCATCATATGACCCCTTTAAAGAAAAAGTTGCTTTTTAAGTTAACAGAAGGAAAAAATAAATTCATTACTAAACAGGACAATACAGTGTGGCAAGAGGACACATACACAGTTTGTTTGCGTCAGGGGCACCGCTATGGTTTCTGGGCCCCCCTCGGCAGTGACTCATGTGTGCCTGATGTATGACTCCTGTATGTCACTCACTGTAATCACCTTTACCTTTCTTTGCAATCGTCATCCAGCAAAACTTTACTGGCGAGACACTGGTTTACTTTATCCAGCCCCTACGGACTTGTCCTGACTTTTAGCAGTGGCTGTCAGGGTCAATTAAATATCATGGGTTTGATTTCCAGAGAAAGCAAGAAATGATCAAATGAATACCTTGAATGCAATGTAAGTCACTTTGGTTAAAACCATGTGCCAAATGCATGAATGTAAATCCTGAATCAAAAATTAGCAAATCTGAACCCAGTTTGTGTGGGCCATTTCTCTATTGCTCTAGAGCAGTGGTTCCCAACCCTGGTCCTTGAGGCACCCCAACACTGCACATTTTGCATGTCTCCTTTCTCTGACACTCCAGTTTCAGGTCTTGGAGTCTCTACTAATGAGATGATGACCTGAATCAGGTGTGTTTGATTAAGGAGACATGCAAAACGTGCAGTGTTG